ACATACATACATACATACATACATACATACATACATACATACATACATACATACATACATTTTCTTATGTATCAAATGTTGTAAATTTGTACGTTATAAAGAATTATTTACGCATATTACCACCTACCATCGATTTCTGCCAATGTTATGGAACACTGAATATATAGATTTTCAATCTTTTGGCCTGAACTACTACTGATGATCCTCAATAAACAAAACTATCATGTCTTACTGTAAAACAAATTGTTTGGCTCTCTGCATCGGCATACACAATCTTTGAATAGCTGCTTCGTATATTAGATGAATATTTTGCGACAAAACAGACTGGGCAAATCAGCCAAATCGTGTACACTACAAATAAGTATGTTTGTTTAACATAATAATTCGTATTACTAAGTAGTAATGGAAGTCACAGATTATCTTTCACTCCATGATCAAATTATCTATTATCTATCTACCGTGTTTGCTTAGGCGAACTGTATACCAGAAACTGAAACAAAATAGCACTTATGTATACAATGTCTCAAACAGGTAGGAAATCGCCGATAAAGTCAACCCGTTCAAAAATATTTTCCTACAAAGCATGCGAGGTACACTTGTAAACTATGACTTTCATCACGACCCAATTTTTGCCAAAAAAGAAAAGGAAAATGAAACTATTGTTTAAAAAGTCGATACATGCTAAATTTGAATCTTACTCTTTTGAAAAAAATGCATAGATTGGACGAAAATAGTAAGTTATTTCTATACAGTAAAATTTTTAAAAAAATATGCAGAGGAACACTACCTATCGTTACCCAACTTTGAATATAGAAAATTGATGGCAAAGCTGAGACTAAGCAACCACAATTTAGAAATTGAGGCTGGTAGATCTAAAAAGATTCCTCGACAATCCCGACTATGTAAATTCTGCAATACTGTAGAAGATGAAGTACATTTTATATTTAAATGCAAAATAAATATAAATATCAGGACTACGTTTCTCCAAAAAATTAAAATTAACCCATCATTGCCTGATCTACAAAATTTAATATTATTATTGTCATCTAATGACCCGCAGCTTTTGCAGGAAATAAGCCTCTTTATTAAAAACTAATTTCAACTGAGGAAGGCAGGCTTGCAGGATGCATAAGTATGTAGTTTTTGCTGTCCATTATACAGATGTACAGTATCAATGTTTGTTTGATGTTTGCAGCTCGATCCTTGTAAATTGGATGTAAAATACAATAAAGTTGATTGATTGTATTATGATAGCATATGGTAAATGATCGGGAACTTTCTATCGACCAGTTTTACATTGGTTGAGACCACGTGGATACATTTAGGTTGACATCCAATTGACCTACTGATGTCTTTAAATGCACGAAGAATGGCAGTTTGATTTATAATCTGACGACACCGGGACTATTCGTGCCACTTATGTAGAAAACAAATATATACGCAGTAGTGTGTATTTGAACAGTCCCTGCTAAAAACTTCCTGTTCTGAACCAACTGTAGAGACATACACAAAGATGTCCTTTGAATGCACCGAGACAATGGACTTATACTTTAGAATGAGATCTGACGGATTGATCTTGTAACGAGTCATTGAGACACAGGATTGATAGTTCTGGGTCCTCTACAAGGGACTATTCTGGTAATGATCCAACACTCTAAAGGAGATTACAGTATTTCTGAAAATTTGTACCAGAAGACAAACAAAGCCTACCGGCGTGGAAGGACGGGCAGTCAATGATAAACAGAAGTAGTTCGTTTTTATATTTTCAAAATTAATAACAGTTTCCTAAAATAAAATGTTTCTATCAATTTTAGATCCTCAAAAATTACATTGTCATTGTATTTGTTGTTCGTGGCTGTGATCATATGAATATGTTCATGTATGTATCATACATCTCAGATGCCACACACAAACTGTGAACAAGAAGGACTTAACTGAGATGTTGCCTTCTAGTATAAAACAAGAAGGACGAGTTGTTGAAATAGGCCAAAAACGCTTGGGCTATTTTCAACCTTGTTATTTTAGGCCATGCTTTTATTGTTCCGAAGTGCTCGGTGAGGACCCTATTGGAAGCAAGTTGTATTTTTGACCCCCTCGAACTACTTGGGTTAATTTACGCTTGCACCTTTGGAGGGAATTTAAGGGAGTAATTAATTCCCTCTATGTCAAGACTTTCATCAAGTGTTAGAAAATAAAAAAGACGAATTTCCCAGACAACATGTTTTGTTTCATACAGATCTTATTATGTAAATTAAGGAATGATGGCAAACCTAATGCGAAAGCCGATTTCAGGATAAGGTACGTTTATGACACGCACATGAAATCATCATTTTTTCCTCTTTTTCTAGAAACGTTAGCACTGCTCCTACAATGCCAAAACGACCATACCGCAAAGTCCAGCAAGTTACAGATAACTGGTTTTTTTTACATATAAAATGTTCTCTTAAATAATTTACAGCCATGTATTTATATCGCCGTTCGCCTTTCTGGGAAAGAAAGCTCATATTAAAAAAAAAATGTCTTGACGAAATAAATAGCAGAAATATATGTTGCATTCCAAATAAGTCTTGAGCATGTGTTCCTCCATATTAAATGACGGTTTTCCTACCAATGCCTCCATCTAGTTGCCTCGATGTCTTTGTAATCGCGGCATTAGATGGACCTCGGCATTGTTGATTACAAACACATTTTGAGGTTAACAAGACTACAATAATGAAAAAAAACAATGTCTGAAGAATTCCGTCACCCATCGATATGTTACAAACTTTTGGCTACAACAGGTCATCTTAACTTTTACAGGTACCTCACATTTTCATTCGTGATTTTTTTTACATCGTCATTCATTGTCATGTCGTTTGGTAGCTGTGTAATGCGACAATGTTTGCTTTGCAGTGACCACGCGGTGAATAAGAACGTATTTATATAATCTTAATGACATAGAAGACGAGTTCCATTTTGTTTTAGTTTGCACAAGACATACAGATTTAAGACGGAAGTATTTAAAATGTTATTATAGAAATAACCCTAGTGTATATAAGCTTGTTCAATTACTTAATACTCAGAATACTAAAGAATTATGTAATCTTGGAAAGTATCTGATAGCGGCAAATAAGAGCCGATCAGATATATGACAGTTTGTATGTGTGTATTGTTCATACTCCTGTGACCAATGTGGCTTTTTGTACATATGTAAATATCCTGTTTATTATATGTTTACATTGATAAGTCGCAAGACTTAAAGTTAATAAAGAACTTGATATAATGTATTGTCATTACACAGGTAGGTTGTTTAAAGTTTCAAGTATTTGCCAGGTAAATATCTCGCACAGATTCGACAAGGCACTATAAATTTAAGAGAGAGTTCTTCACTTGTGACAGCTGTTACCTAGTTATATATTGTAACCTGTTCCAGCCATGGCGAGTAACACTACAGCTGCAATAGTATGTGAAAGGTCCACAGTACCTTGGTAAGGTGGTTACCTGTCGACATAGAAATTCACAATGACAGTTTTAAACTTCTCTCTAACAACAAGGATTAATGATGTGTAATGCAAAATCGATAATCAATGTTAAATGACACTTAGAGCCATATCGGTAAATACCGAACCAAGACTATATGTTTATATAGATACCAACAAGGACATTGGATTACTAGCATTACGTGTTGGGAAGACCCGTTTGGGAGATCGAACGTCGGCACAGAGTGAGTTTGAAACAATTTGCTTTCATATACCAAGGTAGTCAAGAAAAGTAGGAAATTACGGAGGAAGGAAGACGAATGTTGGCATAAAGTCAGTTTGAAACAATTTACTGAAATACAAACAAGGAAAGGCAGGGAAGAGAAAAAGATAGGAGTGATGTCATGAACGTTCTGGATATGAATAGATGTGTTGAAATCCAAAATGTGTGTTTCTGCTGGCCCATTCTAAGTTTTATTATATAGAACTTCCTAGGCGAGAAACTCACACAGAATCATTATGAACCGCGAACAGAAGAAACGAATCACACAAAATATCACTTGTTTGAAGGAGAGACTGGTTGATCTTGACCCAATCATCGACATCTTAATAGAGAGAGATGTTTTGACGATGGAACACAGGAACCGGATTGAGCAGATAGCTTGCCCAACCTCCCATCGGAAGTTTAATGAGTTCATGTCAGTTCTGTTAGCCTCGCCCGATCCCAATGCTTACTATGTGTTGATTGAAGCTCTACAAACGGAGAGGCATTTCTTCCTCGTGGACAAACTACAAAACACAGTGGTTAAAGAAAGTAAGTGTTTGATAACAAGGTGGCAATCATATGGCCTAAATAGTTCACAGAAGAAATCTCGGAGAAAAATCAATACACACAATTTACGATACTACATATTTACCTGTATGAATCGACCACCAAAACACCTTTTCAACCTAGACAGGTGTTTGTATTGAAACTGAATTATTTTTATAAGTTTCATACTGATCATTAAGTATTATGATATTTTATAATAGTAAATATACTACAGTTATCTAACAACTTTAGAAAAACAATGACCAGAAAATTGGAAAAAATAAATGAAAGTCTGATGTACTAATTATTTTACCTCTGAACAAAATAAATACGATGTAGTCGATTAATAATGGATCAAAATGTCAAAGAGGTTTACAAAACTGCTAAACACTTTTAATTGTCTGTTTTCAATATCCTATTGTGCTATGGACTTGCCTGTTAAATTAATTGAACCTCTGCCATTTGAATTATTGGTTATCGGTTTGTACCTTTTCAATAGTATACGCAATATATAATACACACACAGCTGTAGTTTTGTACGACACAAGAAATTCTACCAGTAATCGTCCTTGTGGAGTTTTCATGACGTCATTCTCCTTTTCATCTTTATACGTGGTGAATAACTCTCAATATGATTTTATGGGAGAGATTTTTTTTCTGTTGCATATCTCGTTGTTGTTATTGTATGATCGGTATTCAACGTGTTGTAATTCTTATTGTAAAACGTGCCATTCATATTCTATATATTGTTATTGTATGTTGTATATTATTTACTTCAGAATGGTGTAATTTGTCTCATTTTTCAACAAAGGTTTTTTATTGACCCGATAAAAAAGCTCCACACTTTGTACTTCGTTCCTGTGGTCTGCATTTCACGATAGTCTTGACATATCGGAGTACATGGTGTATTATTTAGTTTTTGACAAGCAAATAAAAAAGGGGTATAAGAAGAAGTAAATTACATCATTTAACAAGGCTATAAACAGCATTTTAGAAAACTTAAAGCATTCTTTTGGAATAACGAGACACAATTTTCAACAACAAAATTCGCAGTCATCAAAACATGATTTTGTTCAAACACGACATACTTGGTGTCAATTACGACATACTTGGTGTCAAACACGATAAACCTGGTGTCAAACACGACATACTTGGTGTCAAACACGACACACTTGATGTCAAACACGACGTACTTGGTGCAAAACACGACATACTCGGTGTCACACACGACATACTTGGTGTCAACCACGACACACTTGGTGTCAAAACGACACACTTGGTGTCAAACCCGACATACTCGGTGTCAAACACGAAATACTTGGTGTCAAACACGATATACTCGGTGTGAAACACGACGTACTTGGTGTCAAACACGAAATACTTGGTGTCAAACACGATAAACCTGATGTCAAACACGACATACTTGGAGTCAAACACGACATACTTGGTGTAAAACACGACACACTTGGTGTCAACCCCGACATACTTGGTGTCAAACACGACATCCTTGGTGTCAAACACGACACACTTGATGTCAAACACGACGTACTTGGGGTCAAACACGACATACTTGGTGTAAAACACGACACACTTGGTGTCAAAACGACACACTTGGTGTCAAACAAGAAACACTTGGTGTCAAACACGACGTACTCGGTGTCAAACACGACATACTTAGTGACACACACGACACCCTTGGTGTCAAACAAGAAACACTTGGTGTCAAACACGACGTACTTGGTGTCAAACACGACTTACTTGGTGTCAAACACGACATACTTGGTGTCAAACACGATATACTCGGTGTGAAACACGACATACTCGGTGTCAAACACGACATACTTGGTGTCAAACACACACACTTGGTGTCAAACAAGAAACACTTGGTGTCAAACACGACATACTTGGTGTGAAACACGATATACTTGGTGTCAAACACGATTTACTTGGTGCAAACACGATATACTTGGTGCAAACACGACACACTTGGTGTCAAACACGACACACTTGGTGTCAAACACATATACTTGGTGTCAAACACGACATACTTGGTGTTAAACACGACATACTTGGTGTCAAACACGATACACTTGGTGTCAAACACGACAAACTTGGTGTCAAACATGAAGATTAGTTCAATGCCAGTTACTTCATTCAATTGTGACGTCATAGTAGAGAACCAACCTGGGAGAGTACTTGCCTAGGAAAACAAAATGTTTGTCTTGATGCAGCGTACTAACTAATTAACAGGCAATTTGACGACCAATACAGCCTAATTTTACAGGAGTTAGGTGATATATCGTGGGAGACGCATACAGATTTTTTTTTTAACAAAAAGGAGAATGGCATTTTGAAATTTGTGCTCGGTAACCTTGGTGGCAATAATAATAAGCAATAAGAAAGCTAGAAGGAAAATAAGGATTTGTCTGCATATAACATGTATATATATTTACATGTATAATTATATGTACATCTAGGTCCGTACAATGCCACTAGGACCCATACCTATACACCCGGAAGTCGTGAGACGGGGGCTACTAGTCGTCAGTCGGCCTCTCGTCACCAGGTAAGTGTCTCCTAGCAACCAATTAACGAAGTGCTATTAGTTGGATGTGTCTATGAGTGGGCAAAACAGTTGGGGTTTTTTAGATTGTAAAGGACAGTCAGATTATGACTGATGGTATTGGTACCAATATCCATTTTTTAAATTAATGTGAATAAATTATTTAATGATAAATTGATTGATTTCTGAAATACAATTTTAACGAGTTATGAGACATGAAAAGAGTCGTGATTTCCTACAATTTAAAACGTGGTAGTGGTTCATGCTCTGGCAACTTCCAATATACATTCAGACCACAAAAATACATCAAATTCAATTATTTTTGCTTCATGGTAGGTTACTATAGAATACATACCTTTCCATATACAGGGTAGATATACACATAGTCAGAAATTTCAGTTTTAATGTTGTCAAACTTGCTGAAGTGCTAATTGATATTTCACTTAAAGGAGTGTATGTACTTAAAATATGTTACAATTATGTTTTGGTCGAGTACTTAATGTCTTAATGGAACGATTGCAAATTGCTGTTATTTCTCTATGGACATTTTTCAGACGAGAAATGTAAGTGATGGCGCCGGGGCCTCTGGGATACATCGTGCTCCTAATATGGTCCAACAAGACTTGTCATATCAGATGAGCAACGTACTGGCAGAATTTTGTGAAAAGATGACAGAAAACTTTGCTGTACAGTTGCAGAAAGAGCGTCGCCATCATCAGGAAGACATGGACAAGCGAATAGAGGAGAAGTTTACCGTGTTTCAGAAAGATTGGTGTGATCAGAAGGAAGAAATTCTTCAGAGGAATGAAGACGCCATTAACCATCTCCAGGAGTGTGTGGATAAACTTCATCAGTCCAACGTCGAGTATCAACGTCTGAGGGAGAAATACGACAAGTTGAAATCCCTGCAGCGAGATATGAGAGATAAGGAGAACGAACGATGGAATAAACTCACAAAATCTAACATGGACAATGTGCTATTACGTAAAGAAAACGACGAGTTACGTCGCAGAATCACGGGTCTTCAGGACCAGGTTCTGGATTTAAATGGTGAAATTCGAGTTGCCAAGGACAACGAAAATCAAGATAGGACAGAAATTGAACGATTGACTGTGGAGAACAAGAAACTGGAACAGGAACTGGAAGATAAGGGGAGAGAAGCGGACACATTGAAACGAGAAGCAGAGGAGGCATATTCCAAAATTCATACAGATATGAGGACGCAAAGAAATTCATACAGCTCAGAGGAAAATGACTACAAAGAGGCACTGGAGAGGCAAAACACAAAGTTAGATGCAATATTTGCAGTCATGGATGAGTTGAAATCTACGGATAAAGTGACCGCGCAGAAAATCATTGTTCCGCGTACAGTGACAATTGGTGGGAGTCTGCCCCATAGAAGCCAGAAGACAACCAAGAAGTAGAATTTCGCACGAAAGACACACACGGGAAAACCTTCAGGCAAATGTGTCATGAGTTAATTTTCTTTTGGAATTAAATATGAAATTATTTCACGTTTAATGCATTGGACTCTCTCAAATCTTCCAACAACTCCGTCCACCTGTGCTATTATTTACTAAACGTGTGTATTTAATCTGTGATGGGATTAGAAAATATATCAATGACGTTTTTTTCATGTATATTACTAACAGATTGTGCTCATACCATTGATAAAAGTGTAGACTTCCGATAAGTCATTAGGATGGTTATCTTTCCCTCGGCGTCATTGGTGTACAATTGAGTCATTATTTTACTATTTACTGACCTGAAACTGCGTTGAAATGGTGATATGAAAGTCGGTTATCATCCTTACGTCATACGATTTAACATAACGTATTGTTTGTTATGTTTGGTTTTTGGACATGTATTTGTTTTGAAGTTGCTTTTGTTTGGAATTGTACAATGAATGTTTTGAGAAAACAATAAACGTTTGTTTTGCCAGTATTGTCTTTTTCTTAAATCAAACTGTTCTTCAATCTTAAAATTTATAACATCAATAGTTGTTAGTTTGCCGCTAATAGAAAGCGTGCGAAAGGTTCCTTTTTCATTTCCCCTCTCTTCTTATGATTAGCCATTACATGGCATACAGATTAATAAAACGGGATGAACTTTTCTATTGTTTGACACTGCAGTATCACACGGATGTAATTATAACTGATAGGTGTTGACAATATTCCTAGCCATGGGTGTACCTTTGTGAAATAAATGAATTATCGACATCATACATCATATTACAGAATACAAGAGGCGGTGTTACTCACTGTAACACGTAAAATAACTTTAGATATGTATCATGTTCTTACTACAGTAACTATATCCATTCATACGTTTGTGCTGGATGGACATGTGGCGGTATGTTACAATGAGAAAGTTTAGTCGCAAGCCATTATCTGCAATGTTATCTGAGAGAACGCATACCATTTGTTTTAATTCGACAAGATCTGTTTATGTTTCACCTTTACCGAGAGTGCCTCAGCAGTTTCTCCAACTGTAGCTTACGTTTAGGCGGATACTGTCTCTGAATGGCAACAAATCTGATACAGATCCGAATATGATTATTGATGTCAAACCCAAATTTGGTTTCACCTGCTGTGAAAGATTATGTATGTATTCTCCATAACAAATATAAAGTCTTACCAGCTGACAAATATGTAGTCGTGCCTGTGGACAATTTTAGTCAATTTATAACACTTTCCGAGATAACAAAGTCATAAGTTCAGACTTGAATTGACTAGTTTGTGTATCAAATAAAGACTCGGGTACAGATAAATATCTTTCCCACACGCGATATATAAATCGTCTACGGTTCTTTACAACCGGCATTTTATCCAGGAAGCACACATCGTACAACAGAACGGTCGTCTAATAACAGCAGTTAAAGACGGTCTTCAAACATTCTGTGATACAGATTATTCGCGCAGTGGCATCAATTAGATGTGGATTTTGAAATTGATAAAGAATATCCAAAGAAGCTTCAATCGCTACAACTCTTAAAACGTTTTGACGTCTCCACACTGTATACCAATAAGTTTATACCGAATTTAAACCACACGTATTTGGAATATTTTTACCTTTGCCTAAAATTTGCAATTACAAACTCATATGGTTTGTTACCAGTAGAAATTAGAGTCGTTTAATGAACATCACATAACTGGCAAAGACATTACGCAGACTATAATTTTTTTTTCGGTGAATTTGGATGCAGACTTTTTCAATAAACTATCAGTAGCGTTTTAATGGCATGTCACTATCCAGTAAGGACTTGCCCTGCATCACTTCTTGCAATCTTCCATAACTTAAAATTAAAGATACCTTGGCCATTCTTCTTCAGTATCATATCTAATATTGTACCTATGTTTACCCACGGTTTGTCAATAATGGATTATGCTCACCTCACTACCAAACTCAATGCTATGTCTAACGACTATAATTTCACGATTAATAATTTGCCTTTCCTCCGCAACATTCCTGTCAAACTTGCACAGACGTGATTTTGTAAAGTTAAACTGAAGTCATCCGGCTCATTGACCATAGAATCTGTTCATTTCCCTAAAAATACAACAAAAACATAATATCTACATATTGTTTTTATTGATTTTTTCTTTAAAAATACACAATAACCTGTATAAATAACATCTACACAAAATGTTGGAATGTTAAGCTTAGCTTAAAGTATGCTTAGCGTGATTAGAAAAGAAATCCAAATAATTGTAAAAATCCGTCACTGAGGCTTACATTATATGAATGAGTTACAATATCTTGTCCATTCGGAACACCTCGCCTTTGCTACCTAGCATAAGCTTGGAAGTTTCGTAGAAAATGACGAAAGGGTATTCCGAATGTGTCTTGTCCTTTGTTTATTAAGGAGAGTTAATATTTACAAACATTGGACTACGTATTTGTGAAAGAAAAGGGTCGAGAATAAAATGATAAAATAAAGAATATTAAAATTAATCAGAACAAGGAAATATATATAACATTTGTATAGTATAATTATCAAAACACAACAAAATAGTAAAACAAAGGGGAGGTTTGTACAGTACTGGTCCAGATGTGGTAACTTATAAACATACATACAGTGTCTGTAGTAAATAATTATGTCAAAACTGCCACATCTATTCGACCAGATTTTTACATATTGCAAACATTCAATATTAATTGCTATTAAAATATAATTATGTCAAATCCGTCAGAATATCACTGTTACCTGAGTTAACGATATTATATATTGGAAAAGGTTCATTTGTTTGAAATATTTTACATATATATAAATATATAAATAAATAATATGTCTTACCAATATTTGAGCAATATTTGATTAGAGAAATTCTATAATAAAAGCAAATACAAATTCTTCAAATATATTGATTGCATTAGAAGATATGGTATGTTAATATAACAGAAAAATTTATTTAGAAAAAATATTTTCATTCGACAGAAAAATGACTGAAAAGGATATCACAATATATTTTAAAATATTTGATAACAAATGTAAAATTAACAAAGTACGGAGGAAAATATTCCGCAAACATATTTTTGATGGGGTACATAATGGTACAGTGAAGACAAACACATTCTAAAAAGTAGCATGATTGTGTTGCTAATGTCACATATATTGTTAACATTATTTATGTACCCTGCTTTTATATTACATCACGCAAACTTCCCGTGTAGTACAGGAAATAATAAATAAAATAACAACTATAAACTATATAAATAAACAATTTTCAAAGATGAAAACTGTACAAAACACATTTTTTGGCGAAAGCTCAAATTATTCTGTGGATTACTCTTATTATTCTAAGACAAATTTTCAATTAGTTTATAAAGAATCTCTGTCTAAGAAATATAAAAATCACATTCATTTTACCATTTACTGCACAAAGATTCCATTTTTGTTTAAATACATAGTTAACTAATCAGGTAGAACACAGCATTAGGTTTTAAACAGAGTATATGGCTTTTACATCATTTTTATACAAATACAATAACATGTACTGCATATACCAGTGACCAGCTAGACTTGTAACTAGCTAACACCCAGGTCAGGCCCCCTCTTTCTGAAGACCAGGGCCCAGCTATTCAAAACTGTTGTTGTTAAGCTAACGATGTCGTTAACTTTTAATGACTCACTAACCACGGTTTAACGACTCGCTAACCACAGTTTAACGCCTCGCTAACCACAGTTTAACGCCTCGCTAACCACAGATTTAACGACTTGCTAACCACGGTTTAACGACATTCTTAGCTTAGCGATAGTTTTGAACAACCGGGCCCAGTAGACAGTCTGTCTCTGATGAGGTCTGTCCCAGATGAGGTCTGTCCCTGATGAGGTCTGTCCCAGATGAGGTCTGTCCCTGATGAGTATAACTGCGTCTTTATAGGATCACTGATGAATGCTAACACCTGGTAGAGAGTGTGTCATATCCTACGATGTCGTCAATGATAGCAGACTGTGCGACTCGATCAACATACTTTTATATTAACCCATCCACCCCTGAAGGCACATTTGAACTCTTCCAAATCAGGTTGGAATAGTTCATTATGAAATTTCAGGGGTGAATGAGTTACGTCATTTCTATATTTACACTTATACTAATATAAGAATTAGTTACCAATGTTTCTATTCATTTTTTTTGTGCATATGAAATCATCCTTACAACTACAATTATATTGTTTTACCTATCTAACAAGTACATGTCTCTCCTAAAAAAAGTTTTATCACACGTGCCAACTCTCCTTATTTTGGAGGGAGACTCCCGATTTTGGACCCTAAAATTGAGCATTTTCAACCAGTGAATTTGCTAAGCTATTCCTATTTTCTAAGATCTAATGCTTTCATCTTGAACAGCTCAAAAGAGGCCACTTAACAGTGTTATTTATTTCTGAGCACATGCAATCTCCCCCACGGAAATTTCAAAAAGTTGGCAAGTATGTTTGATACGGCTGCTGGAGCCTTTCAAAGTAAGAAACTTACTATGATAGGCCATTGTCAGATTTCAACAGTGATAAATTAGATTAAAATGTAGAAATATAAAAATTCGCTATAATTCTATTGTATTCCTACTTAACAAAAATATTAAATTAGTCTCCTCTTCATCATATTTGACAAGTGCTGCAGGAGCTTTGCAGTGTACAAGTGATAAAATAGATTATAATAATTATTTTTTTTCTCCACTTTTCAAACATTTATTTAACTATTATGGTAACATTTCTATTAGGACGAGGTGCTCTATGTCAACTTTTTTGTGTGTCTTTATACGCTTGATATACATATATCACTGTAATGTTTCTGGAATAATATATTTTTTAATATGGTGTATTTCTAACGGACCACCAGCTTCCTGGTGCTACAACACTACATATTTACCACTCTCTATCAAATTTAGAAGAGCTACCTGGTCAGTGGTAGTACCTTTGCCCAGTTGAGCTTTAGTTATGTCCAAAATTAAATTACCAGGAATTAACTATATAGCGTTTTGCCTGCAGTGGGACAGGGATCCTTAATGTAGAAGTGGAACTCTCTTTGGAACTCTCTAAGTGTTTTGCCTGCAGTGGGACAGGGATTCCTAATGTAGAAGTGGAACTCTCTAGTGTTTCACTTGCAGTGGGACAGGGATCCTTAATGTAGTAGTGGAACTCTCTAGTGTTTTGCCTGCAGTGGGACAAGGATCCTTAATTTATCACTGAGCAAAATTGATGAAATTTGACACAAAGGAGTCCTGAATAGATACATGTACACCCAGACTTTTTGACTTGCCTTCCTTAACTGGACAACTATAGGGCCTTCTTATAACAGAGTAGAACTTTCTGTGCCTCAATGTTTGCTTGTATTTAGATCATCCTTTGAACTTTCTTAGCCTGGCTCCTCTGTTGAAACGTTAGAATGTAAATAATAAATATCTTGAGTGTATACTCAATGTTTGCTTGTATTTAGATCATCCTTAGAACTTTCTTAGCCTAGCTGGCTTCTCTGTTGAAACGTTAGAATGTAAATAATAAATATCTTGAGTGTATACTCAATGTTTGCTTGTACTTAGATCATCCTTAGAACTTTCTTACCGTGGCTTCTCTGTTGAAACGTTAGAATGTAAATAATAAATATCTTGAGTGTATACAAAATGTTTGCTTGTATCTAGATCATCCTCTGCCCGTCACCTTCCTCCAGGCAGGGTTGGTCAAATATCTGAGCAAATAAAGAGAAAGTAGTATTTGTTATCTGTTTCAAAATCATATTAGCAAGAACATATACTGATCTAGATTGAAATACTAATAATTGGTCTTGGAACTGTGTGGGAATCTTCCAGTTTAAACAATAACACTTTTCATATCATAAAAGAATATCTTTGTGACTTATTCAGACAAGAATGTTTCGAAAAATTTCAATCTTCTCCTAAAGGAGCATTGTATCAATATGTGTGTAATTTTGGTCACCAGTAATATTATTTATCAAAACCTGTAAATATAAATTATTTATAACAAATATGTAAAATTTGAATGTCAGTACATAAGTTAAATATTGAGTGTGGTAGATATAATAGAACTGAAAGATGAAACAGATTGTGTACATTATGTGACCTGAATGATGTCGAGGATGACTTCCATTTCATTTTAAAATGTCCTTGTTATATTGACATAAGGTTGAAACTAAGTTAAGAAATATTATGTAAGACATACAAGACATTCAAAATCTTGGCAAGTATTTAATACAAGCAAAAACAAAAGGAGATCAGAGCTGATTGCTGGTTAGTGTTCACTCTCCAAAGTGTGTGTGTGTGTGTATCATATTCTATGTTGTCTTTGTATCATGTTGTTCTGTTTATTTGTTATAACTGATAAACTTGAACTTGATTCATTTCATCCACTTGACAACTAGTATAAACTTACTGGATCTGGTCTCGCTAGCAACAGTTTTTCTCTGCCCGGCTGCATAGCCATTGGTTGAAAAGGTCACATGACATCAGGTTCTGGATCATCACCTCATCCACCACTTCTGTACAAAGTTTCTGCTGTTAGACAAAATCAACAGGATTAATGTGGTATAAAAAACCCTTTATTTTGGGAGAAAACATTTATCACATTAATTATGAGTCTTACAGTAAGACATCCTTGATATCCAGGGGGTTATGCTCACCTACACTCTCTGCACCCCTGGAATATGTCATAGCAAAATTGAAGGCACAGAGATAGCTGTTTGATTGGTCTCAGGTCAAAAAACCTGACCAATCACTAGGCTGATGCCTGTCCTTTGAACATTACAAAGGAGCGACACCTGGCTTCAAATCTTGTCAACTTTTACCGCTACATGACCGCAAGATTCTTTTGATGTACATCATAGGATCTTAGTCTTCTTGTCTCATCAACAAGGTGGCGTACACTGAGCCTTCAATTTTGCTATGACATAATCCAGGGGTGCAGGGAGTGTAAGTGAGCGTAACCCCTGGATACCGAGGATGACAGTAAGATTGCCTGATGTTATGAAGGATGTACAGGGATATAATTGGGTAGATGGTGGCACAGTGGTTAGTGCATGTTTCTGCAACAATTATGAATTTAACAGTAAGATTGCCTGATGTTATGAAGGATGTACAGGGCTATAATTGGGTAGATAGTGGCACAGTGGTTAGTGCATTTTTCTGCAACAATTATGAATCTAACAGTAAGATTGCCGGATGTTATGAAGGATGTACAGGGCTATAATTGGGTAGATAGTGGCACAGTGGTAAGTGCACTTGCCTGTCACCAGCAGGTTCATTCAATTTCCTGATCAGATATGAAAAGTTACTGGTCTTCTGCCAAACCAAGTTAGTTTTCTGGTTTCCTCCTACATTAATACCCCCTTTACACCACAGTCTCTGGGCCAACCAGAATGAATAATATAAGCTGATAACATTTGTTTTCATCATGAATGGCTGTAACGTCATCACTAGCTAATTAAATATAGATATAACTCTGTTAAGAAAATGAATACATATCTAAAAAGACATCAACTATAAATATTGTCTAGCAGGTTATAATGTTATAGTCAGATTACAAACTCTTTCCATACAGCTGAAATTGGCGTTTGGTATTATGTAGTTTTGAGAAGTTCTAAATACCAACCTTACAGGATATAGTGGTACAACCCTTTTGAATTTCCTCCCAGATGTACTTCCTCCAGCAGGTAACACAGTAATAGTGTAGGCATGGCAGTAGGACACAGCCCTTCAGCAGTGGTGGGTCAAAGTGGCGTAGACAGGATTTACAGAATCCAAAATCCATGGTCTGGGTCAGCGAGGTTGGTAACAAATCATAGGCTTCCAATAAACCACCCTGTACAAACAGTTTTCTAAATTATATAAACTTTACTCTTCAGTTCCCTAGGGTAGATTGGGTGGGGGGTTGGGACAGAGTGTCAGTCAGATTCATGTCTCCACCATCTATGGATCTTTCTATGAAGTGTCGGTCTAAATCCACCATTGACTTTCAGAGAAGATGGCATTTGAATGTTCTGCACTTAGTGACTCCATATGACACAACACCCCCACCCCGCTGCCCCCCTGGAGGTCAGCACCGTATGGAGTATAAATCTGATCCTCTTATCGTCTGATGATGATTTTATGAAATTTTGACCAAAAATTTAAATTTAAGTTTCAGAAGAGATGTCTTTTGGATGTAATTGTTTTGCACCAAGTGATTAATAATGGCCCCACCCTTCAGCACCTTTTTAATTATACATTCTGATCCCCATCTGGCATCTAAGGATCACTCTCCAAAGTGTTGATTTAAAATCCAACGGTTAGTTTTAAAGATATCTTTGAAAGGTTTAATTTTCACTTAGTGACCTCTAAATGGCACCATCCAGCAGCCCCCTTTGAGGTCAGCCCTATTAATAATACATTTTGATCCTCATCATGTTCAGATTACTTTTTTGGAATATCAGTTAAGTCTACCGAGTAGTTTCAGAGGAGATGTCATATTTTAATGTTTTGACTGTGATCCATTACAGAGTTAGACACTAAGTCTTTTTGCTTGGTAGTCCCCAGGACTATTTGAGTAGTTTGTTTACTAGTCCTTTGTCAATGTAACTTGTCCAAGATTTCCTGATAAGGAAACATCGCGTTCTACAGCACGAAACATCAAAAGTAATCAATTGTAGGGAACTTAAAATAACATATATTATTTTAAGCAATTTTCTACATTTTGAAAAGGAATATTTATATTTCATAATGGACCACTAGTAAGGTTAGGAGAAAGTCCAGGACTAGCAGACTAGTGTTAGTGTCGACCCCTGCATTATAGCTATGTCCCTCAGCCTTTTACAGGGGTCCTTCAAGGTCTTCTTTGGTTTTGTTCTAATCCTGACATAATCTAAAAGATTTTTTCATGAAATGTTAATCAAAATTAAATAATAAGTTTGAGAGGAGATATATTTAGGTTTTGCACCAAGTGACCCCTAATAGCCCTGCTCTGCAGCCCCCTTGGGATTTGTTCAGACCCTTTTTGAGGTAATATTCCAATTATCATCACCTAAGGATTATTTTATGGCATGTTGATGAAAATCTACCAGTTTTGAGAGAAAATGACGTTTTAAGTTTTGCACTCTGTGACCACCTATAGCCTTGCTCCTCAGATCCCTAGGGGTCTGTCTCTTCCTGAGTACAGATTCTGATACTACCGGCTGATGATTGCCACCAAGTTTCATCAACAATACACACCAGACAATGGACTTCCAACATAACTGATGATGAGTGGCTAAAATTCAATCACAATAGATCACCAGAATGACTCTTAAAACTGGTGAATATAGTTTTGTATACTTACATCAGAAGTCAAATCCATCTCCCAGATTTTCTTCTTTTTCTTGTCCACTGAGACTTTTGTGTCTTGTGGAAGTGGTGCTGTTTTTTCTTTCTGTACTGGCTTCAGGTTAACACTGACTCCCTTCACCCGACCAGTGGGGCGAACTCTCTGGGATTTTGTAACACCCTTCCCTGGATGGCTGTAAGCAAATTTATCATTTAAAGAAATCATGTTCATGATATGTTCCAGATGAATATGTTTTATGCTTCAGGAAGGCTTCTGTGGACCACCTGGTACTGGGGTATTCATACTTATTTCAAAAGAGGATCTATTACAAATTTGTCTTATTACAATACAGTGGGGAATGTTCATGTTAGTTCCATTTTTAACAATTACATTTTGTTAAAAAAAAAAATCCTTTGGAGAGAATGTTATAACACAGTTATTTTAATGCATGTATACAAGTTGTTTAACTTATCACTGACCCTATGAAACATTACGGACACCTTTCTGCGGGTCCCAGTTGATCAGGAGATGCCGAACGTTTCAATATATTTCTGCTACTTAACCAATACATGTATATAAAGTTTGATTAAGATTGAACCAACTCAAAATTGATCTTATAATGTAAGTCATATGCGACTGTTCCCTTTTTATAAGAAAATTTTTGTCCTATAGTTTCGAGCAACTTTTAAAATGAAAATTCTTAAACTTGTTTCGTGAATCAAACGTGAAATGGAATCTCATGTAAGGTCACTATATATGTCTGATCTTTTATTTGATTTTTTCACCAAATAGAAACGCTCACCCTTGCTGTTCAGTTAAAAGGTCAACAACGTGGCGTGCAGCATTCAGAAGTTCGTAAACTGTGTACACTCGGTCTGAATCCCCCGCAAGCTCTTCTCTCAAAAGGATTGGTATCATTTTCTGACCAGTAGTGTTTGGCTTTAACAAGATCTTTAACCTGAAGATTAACAATTTCTTAATTGATGACAACAAACAAACTTTAAAATTGTTCAAAGGGACAGTTTTAGCTGTGTTTTGCTGAATATTACAAATATGTAATACAAACCTCTAAATCAATTTCTTCGGTGAACTGTGCCTTTTAGTTTTATTCTTGAATTCATAATTGAGACTTACTCCTATAACATAAGAGGCTGCTGGTCGGCCATTTTTCTATCGGATATGATTTTGCCGACTGCGACATGGCCCTGTCAAAAGTATCTTGCCATGTAAACCTCTGTTGGAGTAAATTGAGACTATGCTATTTCAGAATTCATATTATCTATAGAATCAATATTTGCAGAAGATGTTTGCCAATCTTGTATTTACATACCGATATTCAGCCACAAATGACCATTTAGACCATTCTGTTTTTTGCCAAAGTAGGAGTTGAGCTTGAGTGGTCTGTCCTGTCATGGTCAGACTAAGTTGTTGTGGAACACAGTTTCCAAAAAGAAGCTTGAATCCACTTGGATGCGACCTCATTGTCTCTATGCTGTCTTTGTCCAACAAACAGGTACAGAAAGACTTGTCAAAATCGTCACCAAGGACCCCTAACGTAGCATCATTCTTTACATCCTTGATTGATTCCCTCCACTTGATCTCGGCAATTCTAGTACCGACGTTTGAAATGTCCCCTTTTCCATTGTCATTTGATCTTTTCAGTCTTACTGTCTGCATGGACTTTTCAACATCATCTTGACTGTGTAACCTTTTTTTCTTTCTTCTCTCATTTTTGGCTTTTTTTGAGGCATTGCAGTTGCCGTTATAACTACCAAAGTCTTTGATTGTTAATTGTCTATATTTCCTCCTTGGAGGGTGAACATTGATGGTGTCGTCATCCTCATATGACAGATGATTCTGAATATGGCTGCTGTCGTCACGGTAACCATCACAGTACATTTGATGTTCCATGTGATCCAATCCCTTATAAAACCATCGGCTCCATGGCCTATTGCGGTTCCCCTTAGCCTTCCATCCAAACCTCTTAACTTTAGTCTCCCACCTATATTTGTAATCTGAAAGCAGCATAATATTAAACCTTACTAATGCACAATATCTATCAAAGGAATGGATAAACATATAGATTCAGATGAAATAAAGTTTGGAGAAAGATTTTTTACATACAGAAATAACCTACATGTATTAAAATTTGCACAACTGATATTGAGGACAAAACTAAATATGCTATTTTGACGTTTTGACAGTCAAACCTGTATCAAGAGACCACCCCCTGGAAGCCCAATAAATGGTCTCTTAACACAGGTGGTATTTGAATACAGATTCAGTTCACAATGAAATAACTACAATAGGGAACATTTACAGTAGTCTCTTAATACAAATAGTCAAACGAGAAGGTTTGACAGTAATAACTTGTTATCATTATGCAGACAATTTGATAGGGATTATCCAAGCATTAAGTTATAGAGAATCCTTCAAGTTTTTGTTACAGTGAAATTAGAAATTTTGCTAACCAAACATTCAGAACACGAATGAGAAGAGATGACCATTACAACATCAACTAGGATATCAGCAAGTTTAATCCTGTGTTTACATGTTGGTCATATCTTCTCATTAGTGATTCAATACTTCTATGGCCGGACTAGTGAATTCTATTTAAAGAATCCATCAACTGGGATATGCTGAACTTCACTGATCTTTATGAAAACTACCGCTGACTGGACGTTGGATCTC